GTGCGCCGCGAGGTGCATTCGTACCTGACAGACACGCTGCACTCTCTCATCTCGGAGCTGAGCCCGCAGGAGAAGGAGGACTCGGTCATCGTGGTGCTGATCGCCGAGGCGAGTGGGCTGGGGGTACGGGGTGGGGGTGGGGGCATTCAGAGAACACACGGCACAAAACAAGGAGGAGAAATGAAACAGCAACATTCCGGAGGAAAAAAACTATCAGAAGTTCAACTGTCAGTTTCATTCACAAATTTATGACGACAAATTAAGAAAGAAAAACGTTTTAGCGCCCCCTCGTGGAGATGCCAGTTACCTAGGCTGCCTCACCTCCAGGGCCCCAGGTATATACCAAAGGGCTTTTTTTGAGGCACTGTGGCCTCCAGGCCCAGACTTCTTCGCCCCAGGATGGGGGGCTCACTCCCTCTGTGTGTGGTGTCATCTGAAGCCTGCACACTTCCACCCCCAGGCCGTTTGGGGTGGCAGCCAGGCTTAGGGCTCTTGGTCTCCCCACAGACTGACCCACAGTACACCTCGGTGGTGACAGAGAACATCAAAGCCTTGTGAGTACTGGTAGCCCAATAAAGTTGGTGCGGGGAGGGCTTTGCAGGGTGCTGCACAAGCAAGTGCCTGCTTCTGTGATCCTACCTTCCCAATGTGGGAAAGGATGCTTCTCTTAGCTGAAAGAGGGTGGGTACAGGGAGGTGGCCCAGCCCCTCTGGAGGAGGGCTCAGTAGGATGGGCGTGGTGTTGGGCAATGTCTGCCTGGTGGGCCTTAACAAGGGCACAGGGTCTGGCTAGCTCGGCTCTGCCCTAATTCTGGTGCCTGGAGCTGCTCACCCACTGGCCTTTCCTTTCCCCCAGGTTTCCCACGGAGATCCATTCCGGACTACTGGAGGTCATCTCCCCTTCCCCCCACTTCTACCCTGACTTCTCCCGCCTCCGAGAGTCCTTTGGGGACCCCAAGGAGAGAGTCAGGTATCAGCATTTCCCCCTTCCCCAGACCCCAGCCACCTGCCCATCAGTGCTGGGAAGCCAGTCTGTTGGTGCCAGTCACCCAGGCACTTCTTTGCACTGCCTCCATTTCTCCATTGGAGGCTGGAGGCCCCCTAAATGGGGCTGGGGTTGGTGTGGGAGGTCCGACCCACCCAGTGGCCTCTGTGGTAGCTGCACTGGAGGTGGAGGGGCCTGAGCTCCCGAAGCCCCTGCCCCACAGGTGGAGGACCAAACAGAACCTCGATTACTGCTTCCTCATGATGTATGCGCAGTCCAAAGGCATCTACTATGTGCAGGTCAGCACTGAGACCCTGCTCTGTGCGCCCCCCCCCCCACCAGCCCTGGACCCTGGCTGGGCCCAGGTGGTGAGCCCCACCCTGTCACCCTGTTCCCGTGCCCATCCTGAGTCTGGACCCCCTTCTGCCCACCACTGTGCAGCTGGAGGATGACATTGTCGCCAAGCCAAACTACCTGAGCACCATGAAGAACTTCGCCCTGCAGCAGCCTTCCGAGGACTGGATGATCCTGGAGTTCTCCCAGCTAGGCTTCATTGGTGCGCCACCCCCCGCCCTGCCCCGCCCTGCCCCATGCCACTGACCCCACCAGGGCCCCTTAGTCCAGCCTACCTCTGCCTATGGCCCTCGTACCACACAGGGTCATGCTTGTGGGCTTTGCCGGGAGTGTCTGTTCCCACCCTCCCTGTGCCTCTAGATGTCAGGGCTCACCACCCCCGTCTGTCCCCTTTGCCCGCAGCTGGCCATAGAGCTGGCTATGGGAGCCTCCCTGGTGACCCGCCCCCTCCCCACAGGGATTAAGAGGAAGTAGGGCAGGGCAGAGCTGCCCACCCAGCATGCCTTTCCACCCCCAGGGAAGATGTTCAAGTCGCTGGACCTGAGCCTGATTGTGGAGTTCATCCTCATGTTCTACCGGGACAAGCCCATTGACTGGCTCCTGGACCACATCCTGTGGGTGAAGGTCTGCAACCCTGAAAAGGATGCGGTGAGCGGGGGCTACGGGGGGGGGGGGGTGCGGTGGGGCACGTGGCCTCCAGCATGGACTGTGTCTGTGTCCATGCACCACCTGACACAGAGAGACAGCAGGGCCAAGCTGAGCCCCAGGGCATCCCCATCCCCCTGCAGAAGCACTGTGACCGGCAGAAGGCCAATCTTCGGATCCGATTCAAGCCATCCCTCTTCCAGCACGTGGGCACTCACTCCTCACTGGCGGGCAAGATCCAGAAACTGAAGGTGGGCGGTGCCACACTTGGGCCCAGCTGGGTACAGGCAGAGCCCAGGCCCAGGCGGGGCGAGCAGATGGCGGGGCAAGGCCAGGGCCCTCCCTAGCACCCCTGTCCCTCCTTGGTGGCAGGACAAGGACTTTGGGAAGCAGGCGCTGAGGAAGGAGCATGTGAACCCACCGGCCGAGGTGAGCACAAGCCTCAAGACATACCAGCACTTCACCTTGGAGAAGGCCTACCTGCGGGAGGATTTCTTCTGGGCCTTCACACCTGCTGCAGGGGATTTCATCCGCTTCCGCTTCTTCCAGCCGCTGCGTCTCGAGCGGTCAGTGCCAGTGCCCCTAGGTCCGCCTTGGGGGAGGGGCAGGGTGGCCACCAGGGCACGATTTCTGGACCTGCACATGCCCCTCTTTGAGCACCCCCAGCAAGTCACTTAACCTTACCATGCCTCAGTGTCCGTGTCTGAAAAGGGGGGTTCATAATGGCAGCTACTTGAAGTCAGGCAGTGCCCACAGGAGCTCTGACACTGGCCCATCACCATCATTGCCCTGCACAGCCCAGCGGCCACCGGGGGGTGGTACCCAGCCTCAGCACCCCAGGGCCCACCCACTACACTCCTGGCCCAGGCCTGGCCTTTTCTCTGCTAGGCAGTGTGCCAGGGCAGCGCCCCATCCCCGCAGCAGCTCACAGGCCTGTCTGGCCGTAGGTTCTTCTTCCGCAGTGGGAACATTGAGCACCCAGAGGACAAGCTCTTCAACACATCCGTGGAGGTGCTGCCCTTTGATGTGAGTGTGATGGGGTGTGGATGTGCACTGACACCTGCTCCTCCCACAGCCACTGGCTTCATCCCTTTTCTTTTGCTCCCAGAACCCCCAGTCAGATAGGGAGGCCCTTCAGGAGGGCCGCTCAGCCACTCTGAGGTACCCTCGGAGCCCTGATGGCTATCTCCAGATAGGTGAGTGGGAGGGGGCAGGTAGAGATGGGAGTAGAGGGTGGGCTGATTTGGGGGCAGTCTCTCAGTGCCGCCCTCCCTCAGGCTCCTTCTACAAGGGTGTGGCAGAAGGTGAGGTGGACCCGGCCTTTGGCCCCCTGGAAGCACTGCGCCTCTCCATCCAGACAGACTCCCCGGTGTGGGTCATTCTGAGCGAGGTAAGCCAGACAGGACGGGGCGGGGAGCTGGTTCCAGTAGCTGGACCAGGGCTGAACTCTGAGGGCGCCCCCCCTGCCCCTGCTGACCCTGGGTACCACTCTTCTAGATCTTCCTGAAAAAGGCCGACTAAATGGAAGGCTTCTGAGGGTGCACTTTGGCTGGCCACTAAGCCCATGAGACCTGGGAGACCTGGGATGTCTCGTCGCTGCTGCCCCCGGAGGGCCTGGCGTCGCTGCCTGAAGCCTGAGGGGATCTGCCCAGCGCTCCCCGCTCTGCAGGCCTGGGATCGCCGCTGGCCGGGAGGCCCCAGGAGCTGGTGCTGCCCCGCCCGCCCGGCCATGGGAGGAGGCAGGCGGCCCCCACACTGTGCCTGAGGCCGGCCTGTGCCGCCCGGAACCGTTCGCACCCTGGCTGGCTCGAGCCAGGCCGTTTTAGAAGAGCTTTTTCCTGGGCGCCTGCTGTCTCTGGCGCGAACACTGGAATGCATATACTACTTTATGTGCTGTGTTTTTTATTCTTGGATACATTTGATTTTTTCACGTAAGTCCACATATACTTCTATAAGAGTGTGACTTGTAATAAAGGGTTAATGAAGCACAAGCCTCCCATGTGAATGTTCTGAGCTCCAGCTGGTGGTGGGAGGCCAGGTGCCTGGCAATGCCACCCGCTCCCGCTGCCACCTCGGCCTTCCGTGCAGCACTCGCCTGCATTTCCTGGAGGGCCCAGGCTGCCAGGTTAGTAACTCCTGGGTGGAGGCAGCGTGGAATCCGGAGGTTTGGTGCCCAAAGTCGCCTCTGCTTCCTGAGGACCCTCCTCCCCCAAAGGCTTCCCCTGGCTCCCATCATCTGATCTGCCCCAACTGCCTGCTTCACCAGCGGTCTCTCAAGCCCAAGGCATCCGTGACCCCCTACTTCGTGAGTCCCAGCCCAGCCCTGGTCTACGGTACCCACCCCCACCCCTCCACCCCCCACTCCCGCCTCACCTTCCACACACACACACACATGTACGTCACTGACACATTTTAGGGTCTCCCGCCCTCCTGGAGGGGAGGGGCCTGTGCACTCATGGCTGCTCTGCCTGGAAAGCTCTTCTCTGCCAATTCAGCTCAAAAAATAATCACTTCCTTAGGGACGCTATGCCCAGTCAGCAGGCCTTCCCCGGGTCAGGTCCCCCAGGGCCCCCGGACGTTTCCCTGAGAGCGCCTGTCACAACTACAATGACCACGTTGGTTGTCGTCCCCAAGCCTCCGAGGCAGGGTGCCCTGAACATCTACACTGTGCCGCCCAGCAGGGACCTAGTGCTGACGGAGAAAAGTCCCGGGTGTCAACTGTGAAAGCCTGGCGACGGGGAAGAGGGCGGCTGGGGAACAGTGAAGGGGCAGGCCTCGGAGGAGGGGACAGGCGAGGACAGCGCTGAATGCGGGGAGGAGGAGTCGTCCGGTGAGCCTCGACGGAAAGGGCGGCCGTGGGCCTGGCGTGTGGCTCCAGGGGCCGAGAGTAGGGCGGGAGAGGACCCTTTTCCTCTGCAGCCCCACCCCCAGGAAGCCCACCCGACTGCGGCGGCCCAGGGGCTGGCTCCAAAGCCCGTAGTGCGCGATCCCCTCCGACCTAGAGAGTGCAATCGGGGTCTGGTCACCGGCACTTTAATTGGAGATTGGATAAAGTGAGAACCCCTCCCTTGTCTTCCCGGAAAGCTCCGGCTCTTCTCCCGCTCCGTCGACCTGTCGTCCTCCATCTCAAGCCCTGGGCAGCAGCGTCCGGAACGGTCCGAGGAGCGAGGCGGGCAGCGCGGCCGGGAGAAAGTGGACTAACAGGCCGAGCGCGGCCAGCGCCACCAGCAGCCAGAGCGCGCGCGCGCTCGCGTACAGGGGAGCCAGCCTGCGGGCAGTGCTCAGCGGGGGCGGGGCGGAGCGACGGAGGCCCCGCCCACCTACCCTGCCGCCCGTTCCACCCACCTCCACCAGGACTCGCCCAGCTCCGCCCCGCTCCTCCAGGACCCGCCCCCCGCCCAAAAGGGCCCACCTCCAGCCAGTCTCCCGGTTTCGCAGCCGGGTGGTCAAGACTCCGCCCACAAGCCGCGTTTCCCCAGCCCCACGGGACCTCCCCAGAGCCCCGCCCCGGTTCTCACCTCTGCTGCGCTGAGCGCGTGTAGCCCTGAAAGTAGCGGAGGCGCGCGAAAAGGTAGACCAAACCGCACAGGGCCGCCGCACCTGGGAGAGGGGCGGGCGGGGCCAGGTGAGCCAGCTGGCGCGGGACCTAGTGTCTCCAGGGCGTGCACGCCCGCCCCTAGCCCAGACCTTCGTGAAAGAAGATGCCGGCGACCCAGAGCGTGGCGAGAAACAGCGGGAAGTACTCGCTGCAGTTCACTCTGCGGTGGAGGCGGGGCGGCGTGAGGGCGCGGGCGGGGGGCCTCGGACCCGGCTGCTGCCCGGGCTCCCTCTCTTCCTGCCCGGAGCCCTCCCGCCGCGCCTCACTGGGCTCGGTAGACGCGCTCGAACTCGGGCGGCCCGGTGGTGAGCGGCGGCGACACGCGGAAGGCTCTGCGCGCAGAGATCACCTGCAGGGAGAAGTAGGCTGGGGGCGAGGATGGGCAGGAGTCAGGTCTGGCTGCCCCGAGGCTGGCAACCTCCGCCTAGTTCCCACCTTTTCTCCATCTTTCTACACGCTGAACTTGTCATGACTCCCCTTTAAATTCCCTATGGAAAAATAAAGTCCTCCCGAGGGGACTTCCTGCCCCATCTCTTTCTGGGCTTGTCCTGTGTCCAAGATGCTCAAGGGGGAAGGCAAGGTGCTGGCCTCGAATGTCGGGAGTCCCTCTTCCCCCCACCCCTCTTGTAGGGGGAGAGGGACGATGCGTCACAGGTACACCGTTACTCGGGAGTGGCCCTCCAGCTTAGTTAGGACTTTGCTCCTGAATCCTTTGACTTGCAAAACACAGACAAATGACCAGCTCCCACTCTCTAGACATGACCTTGGCTTTGAGGGTCCCTGAATAGGACATGCCACTAGGGCTTGAAGGCAGAGTTGGCTGCATTCTCCCTGGTGCAGTGAGCACACACCCTGTGGTTTACAGTCCCTGGTCCCCACCAATAGGGTGGGGGTGGGAGGCTCCTGACCCTACTTCAGGCCAGAATCACTCAGGCCTGTGGCATGGGCTCCTGCTTTGGTTTCTCTGCTCAGGTGCTCTGAACTCTGCCCTAAGTCTGACAGACATCCTCTCCCCTACCCCCCTACCCCAGTTGGTTGCTGCTGAGACTCTTCCAGCCCAATGCCAGGCCTCCAGGGCTCTGCCTCCTCCCCACCCCCCGGCCATCCCGTTTCAGCATGGATGGATCTAAGTGCACAAGGGCCCTTCTCTTGGCCTGAGCCAGGCCCCCATCACACGCACAGCTCCAGTGCTGGTTGTCTTCAGCTATCTTCCAGCAAATCCTGTGGCCCTTAGTGTGAGGCCTTCTGGAGACATATCCCATCCCAAGTGCAGTGTGGGTGCCAAGGCTATGTGGACCGTCACAGTGTAGGAGCCAGAGGGGGGCCCCATGGCTACATGAGGAGGAGCTAAGAGCCGAACTTGCCAGTACAGCAGGAGATCAAGTCAACCTGTCTGCCCTGGCCCCTCCAGGGTCCCTGGCGCATACAGTGTAGGGTGATGGCATCCCAAGTGGTAGAGGTATCCAGCCTTGGAACATGTCCTGTGGGGCCAGTCTTGGAGGGCCAGGGAGCAGGTTCCAGCCCTGTGCAGCTCCATGCCATCCCAGCATGGCAAAGCCGTGGTCCTGCTGGGACCCCCAGAAAGAGGCTAGATGGAGAGGGCAGGGATCAGCTAGACAGGGTCACTCCAGACCCATGGCTGCCCCACTTCTGTACCCACCACCAGACCACCCTTTCATTCTGGCACCCCCCCATCCCAGATCCTATAGCCTAACACACTTGGATGCTCCACCTGCTCCCTGAAAGCCCCTGCCCTCTTCCAGGGTTCTATCTCGCACCCCCAGCCCACACAAGGCATGCCTACCTCGATTGTCCCTCTGGGGCCTTTTTCCATTTCAGGGTCCCCTCCCTTGGTCAGGCACCCCTGTCAGCCTTGGTCGCTCGCTGCCCAGGGTTTCACAGTTCACCCTGCAGACATTCCCTCCACGGCTTTCCCTGTCCCTAACCGAGGACAGCACAAGCGTCTCAGCCGCGGGGTATCCCAGCCTTCACTGGGCCCAGAAGAGCTTGGGCACCGGGAGTCTGGGCCAGAGGCTCTGCCTCTGCCCCACACCCAGCTCTGGGCCCTCCAGCACCTCCCCGGGGTCTGGAGGGCAGAAGGCAGGCTGCAGGAGCTCACACCCCACCCACCTCCCAAACAGGAGCCAGCCCACCTTGCAACAGGACTCCGAGGAGGGTGACAGTGGCCAGAAGAGCCACCTCGTCCTTCATGGTGTTGGCAGGTCTGTCAGCCGGACTGGTGTGTGGAGACAAGCTGCGGAGCTCTTAACAGCCCCTGTCGGCTGGCTGGCTCGGAGGCTGGTCAGGGAGAGGAAGACTGGCTCAATCTCCCCGCCCCTGCTTGTGGAGGGGGCATGATGGAGGGGCGTGGCCAAGGCCGGCCAGAGCCCAGCAGCCTGGTCAGGCTAGGCAGGCAGAAACCAGGGCCAGACGGAGCCTAGGCAGGACAGAGCAGCGGGCCAGGGACAAGCCGGCCATGCCACTTCCTCCCAGGCGTTCTTGGCTCTTCTTTGCCTAGTCCTGTGCTGGCAGAGTCCAAGCTGTCCACCAGGGCACACCGCAGCCTTGGGTATGTCAATCCAGTGTCCTTCCAGCCCTGTACCCTCAGCAGGCCCTGGGTGGCTCTCCAGACCTCCCCTTATCCTGAGTCTGGTCTCAGGCAACCAGAGGCTCCTACTTGAACTACCCCCTACACCACTTCCCATTGATCATCAAGTCCTGCTTATTCTCAAACCCACCCCGTGCCCTGCCCCAGTCACCTCTCACCTGGGCACAGTTCATGGGTTCCTCGAGGGTTCCCAGCCCTGACCCCACCCCACCCATACACACCCACTTACCTGTTCCCCCTGATCACAGACCAGGGCTGTTATATAACATGCAATTCTGACAGCAGGGCAGTCTGGGCACCCAGACCACATTGGGCACAGCCGAGTTCCTGCTCCCCTCGGGAAACGTGACGGCCGCTGGCCTCACAGCCTCCTGTGCTCCATGCACACAGGCCATCCCAAAGCCCACCTTGCTGGCCCAGAAGGATGGGTCAGCCCACTCAGGGTGGTTGAGCCCAGCATCTCCTGGGACTCACACCCCGGAACAGTCAGCTGCTGTTTCTGCCTGCCCAGGGTCCCACCTTCCTGAGGTTCCAACCTTCCTATTCTCAGGTCCTGTGGTGTGGACAGAGCTGCCTCCCAGCCCTCCTGGGCATGGGGGATAGACATGTGAGTCCAAACTGTGTGTGAGCCGAGGCTAACTCAAGATGGTGAGATGCAGTTCTGGAAACTTCCTTAGGACTTTGGGAAGGGAAAGCAAAGTAAGGAAGAAGATTTCCAGGGGCCATTTATGGCTACTGGCCACCCCAAGGAAGACGGAGCAATGCAAGGCCATGCTTTGAGGAGAGAGGTGGCTGGTGTCCTGGAGCCCCCTGGGACCACCTTGCCTGGAACCTCCCTCTCCCCCCCCAGCCCTGGCCATTCAGCCTTATCATTTTGTAAGACAGCCACTTCTCCTTTTGGCTCATGCTAGTTGGAGGCGGGTTTTGGTCAGCCGTAGCACAGTCCAGACTGATGCCCAAGCACAGGCAGGAGCTGGCGATGCCACAAACAGGTACGGGCCATGCCGTGGGAGCAACAGAGCAGCAGGTCCTTTGGGGCAACTGCCACTGCTTTTTAGCCTTGGGCCACTGTGGTCCCCTGGCACCCTCTGCTTGGTCACTCTGCGGAGGTCTCCACATAGCAGGGTCATGTGACCTCTGGAGCTCCACCCCCGCCACTCAGCTGGCCTCCTTCCTCACCTGGGTTCCAGTCCGAGAGCTTTGTTGCCTGCTGGGCTCCCCAAGAACCCGTTTTGTCCTCTCATGGCCTGGCCAATGCCCGACAAATGCCCCTTGCCATCAGTGCCCCCAAAGAATCAGCTGCTTCCCAGGGGCTGCAGCGGGCTCCTCAGAGGCAGGGGTGGGTCTCCGGGTCTGTGCCCTGCTTTGCACCAGCTTGCCAGTTGCCATGGTTGGCGCTCAATGGTGGAGAAATGACCGACAGAAGCTCAGAAAGAGACTGGTGCACCCGGAAGCAGATGCCAGACGAGCCCTCAAGCTCTCTCTCTGCCTGCTCAGCTCCCCTGTCCTCCCTGAAAGTGGTCCTGACCACAGCCCCCTGCTATGGCCCCAGCTGGGACCCGGTTAGCAGATAGGCTGTTTGCGTGAACCACATGTGTCTGTGGGCAGTCATGGCGTGTTTCCCAGGGCCCTTGGGCTTGCTAACGTGGTGGAGCTCATCTGGGGCCCGCGCGTGTGTCCGTGGGGCTCCGTCCATTTCAGGGGCTCCTCTCTGCTAGAACTTTCATTTCCTCTGAGACCTAGACATCCTCCCTTCCAAGCTGATCCCCTGCCCTGACAACAGGAAGCTGAGGCAGATTCTGAGGAAGTCCTTGGGCAGATGTCCAGGCAGTAATTGGGGTCTCCACCCCTGGAGCTCTCCCCAGATCCTGCCATTTGCATTTCACTCCCTCTGCCCTTGCCCAGCCTCTCAGAGCCCTGTCTAGGCCGGGCCTGCTCTGGAGGACAGAGGTCCAGCCCGGGGCGCTCCAGGCATGGGCCACCCACCCACCCTCCTGGGCAGCCATTGTCAGACCATTCTTATCATGAAGGAAGTGGAAAAGCCCCTCCCTGAGCCCCTGCAGGACATGCCTCTGTGCTCCAGCCCCTACAGGGCCCCAAGGAACCTTCTAGAAGCTGAGCTCGCCCAAGGATCTCTGGAGAGTGACAGAGTCTGCAGAGCCATTATGAAAAGAAGAAACCACAACTTCAGAACAATAGACCACCATAAGCAGTAGAGAACTCAGACACTGAGCTTAATTTAAAAAGGAGGGCACTGGGCTGGCTCAGTGGGAAGAGCACGTGACTCTTGGTCTTGAGGTTGCAAGTTCAAGCCCTACATTGGGCATAGAGATTACTTAAATAAATAAACTTGAAAAACAAAAAAGAGAGGGGCACCTGGGTGGCTAAGCGTCTGACGTCGGCTCAGGTCACGATCTTGTGGTCTGTGAGTTTGAGCCTGTGTCAGGCTCTGTGCTGACCACTCAGGGCCTGGAGCCTGCTTTGGATTCTGTCTCCCTCTCTCTGCCCCTCCCCCCCCAAAATAAAAATAAACATTAAAAAAAAAAGATGTTGAAATGATTTTACTTACCAAAAAAGTTGCAAAAATAGTACACACTTCCCATATACCCTCTACCCAGCTCACTCTAATGTGAAAATCTGATTTAACCCTAATTCAATTATGCAAACTAGGAGATTAACATCGACACAAACCCATCAGCCACTCTACAGATCTCATTCAAATTTCCCCAATTCTCCCACTACAGTAGGACTGAGGCGTCAAAAACATTATGCTAAGTTGTGCCCCAAACACAAAAGACCACATAGGGTATAACTCTCTTTATATGAAGTGTCCAGAAAAAGCAAATCAAAAGAAACAGAGAACAGATCACAGACAGCCTGGGGGTGGGGGGCAGATATGATGAAGATGTTCTAGAACCAGATTATGGGATGTTTGCACAGCTCAGTACATTTACTCAAAGTCAATGGATTGTACACTTAAATTGGGCAATTGTTGTGGTATGGAAATTAGTTGACCCTTGAACAAGACAGGGGTTAGGTAGCAACAGTCAAAAATCAGTAGAGTTCCCCCAAAACTTAACTACTAACAGCCTACTGTGGACCAGAAGCCTTAACATAATAACAATTATTTTGCATTTTACATGTATTATACACTATATTCTTGCAATAAAGTAAGCTAGAGAAAATTACTAAGAAAATCATGAGGGAGCACCTGACTGCTAAGTCTGTAGAGCATGTGAGTCTTGATTTCAGCATTATAAATTTGAGCCCCGTGTTGGGTATAGTGATTATTTAAAAATAAAAGTCTTAAAAAATTGGGGCGCCTGGGTGGCTTAGTCGGTTAAGCGTCCGACTTTCGCTTAGGTCATGATCTCGCGGTTCGTGGGTTCGGGCCCCGCGTCGGGCTCTGTGCTGATTGCCAGCCCAGAGCCTGGAGCCTGTTTCAGTCTGTGACTCCCTCTCTCTCTGACCCTCCCCTGCTCACGCTGTCTCTCTCTCCTAGAAAAAAAAAAAAAAAAAAAACCTTAAAATAAATTAAAAAAATAAAAATAAAAATAAAAAAATAAAAATCGTAAAGAAGAGAAAAAACATTTACAATACTGTACTGTGTTTATTGAAAAAAAATCCACGTATAAGTCAACCTGCGCAATTCAAACCCATGTTGCTCAAGGGTCAACTGTACACCTCAGTAAAGTGTTTTTTTCTTTAAGTTTATTTATTTAAAAAGCTTTTTTAATGTCTATTTATCTTTGAGAGACAGAGAGAGACAGAGCATGAGTGGGGGAGGGGCAGAGAGAGAGGGAGACACAGAATCTGAAGCAGGCTCCAGGCTCTGAGCTGTCAGCACAGAGCCCGACACGGGGCTCAAACTCACGAACCATGAGACCATGACCTGAGCCGAAGTCATACACTTAACTGACTGAGCCACCCAGGTGACCCCTAAGTTTATTTACTTTGAGAGAGAGAGCAGGGGAGGGGCAGCGAGGGGGAGAGAGGGCATGGAGACCAATGTGGGGCCCCAACTCATGAACCATGAGGTCATGAGCTGAGTGTAGGTCAAGAGTCAGACGCTTAACTGACTGAGCCACCCCGTCGCCCCTAAGCCTTCTACACAAGAAAGTAATGACCTATGATGATAGCATGTCTTGCTCCTGACTTTGAGCCCAACCTGCCCCCAGCTCACACTCCACCTGCAGAGACACCTCACAGATTCATGGCTCTGACCTTGGTTCTCCTCAGCCTGATGCCATTCAGGCTCTGGGGCCCCTTAGGCACCCCGCCCAGGACTCCTGGGACCCTTCCCTGGCTGCCCTTGTCCCTTTCTGCTTTCCTCGTTGGGTTTTCTATCTCCCCAGCCTTCCAGGAGTGTCCACGAGAAGATGCCTGTGGCCTGCCTTGTCCCCAGGCTGTGTGCAGTGGGTGCTCAGAGAAACGTACCCATGAATGATGGAACAGAGACTTCCCAGCTGGCCTGGCTGCCCTTCTGCCCCCTCACCCTGGAAACCACTGAACTGAGAGTAAGGAAACAGTGACCTGAGCAAATAGAACCAGATCCCTTTAGAGGATGGGGGCGGGGGCACTTGCCATAGTGTTGCAAGGGTTTTACAAGGACGCCTGGCCTCTGCTTCAGTCAGCGGGTTCTGGGTCTGAGAACTGATTTGGATCTGGAAATGGGCAAGGGATCAGCTAATTTGGCTTTCTGCTGATCCATTCTTTTTTTTTTTTTTTTTTAAGTTTATTTATTTTCAGAGAGACAGAGGACAGCATGAGTCGGGGATGAGCAGAGAGAGAGAGGGAGACAGAGAATCCCAGGTAGGCTCTGCGCTGTCAGCACAGAGCCCAACATGGGGCGTGACCCCGGAAACCATAAGATCATGACCTGAGCCGACATCAAGTCAGATGCTCAACTGACTCAACCACGCAGGTGCCCCTGGCCTCCATTATTTGTCTCTTTTTGTCTCCGTGGTTCCGAAGGCACAGGGTTCTGTCATGCCTATCACCCATCCCGGACTACATACAGGGGCCATGGAAGCAGGTAACAAACCCAAGTGTGTTCTGGGCCTCCCAAAAAGAGTCCTAGCCAAGTTGCATTTCACAGTGAATTAGCTGGGCCCGAGACCCTTGGGACAGCTCCCTGGCTCCTAGATGTATCACGGGACGGTCTTACTAGGCAGCTGGCATTGTGCAAACAGGAGTTTACACGACAGGGCTGTGACCACTGTCCTTGCAAGGTCAGCCCTTGGCTAACATCTGCCAACTTAGATTTCAGGAGGGTTTCCACCATTAACTGATAAGAATGGCTCACTGTGCCTAATCCGTTTGGGTTTACATGGAACATCTATGCTCCTTTTGGGAGTCTGAAATTTTGGTTCATGCTGGACAGACAGAACCTACATGACCAGCTCCCCCATTAAAAACCTGGGTGGGGGCGCTGGGGGGGGGGCTCAGTCGGTTGGACGTCCGACTTTCACTCAGGTCAGGATCTCCCGGTTCATGAGTTCGAGCCCCACATCGGGCTCTCTGCTGTCAGCGCAGAGGCTGCTTTGGATCCTCTGTCCCCCCTCCACCTTCCCCACTCATGGTCTCTCTCTCAAAAATAAACAAACATTAAAAAAAAAAACTTAACAAACAAACCCAGGGTGCTGAGTCTCTAATGAGCTTCCCTGGCTGGCAACATTTCATGTCGTCACATCTTACTGCTGGAGGAACTGCGCATGTCCCGTGTGGCTCCAACTGCAGGGGCTCTTGGAGGCTTGTGCCTGCTTTCCCCACTCTTTGCGCCGCGCGCCTTCTCCCCTTTGCTGACTTGGCTCTGTGCCCGCTGGCTGTGCCCCACCCTGAGCGCCAGGAGCTGTACTATGAGCACTGCTAATGCTAAGTCCCGGGGTTCTTCCAGCACGTCACGGGGCCCGGGCTGGTCTCGGGGACCCTCTGACACAGGCAGACTTACACCTTGGCTCCTTGGCGCACAGAGTAAGAAGTACTGGAGTAGGAAAAGCCAAGCGGAATCTCGAAACTGTTACCCACTCACCAGGAGGGTGTGTTACAGAACAAACTGCCTTGGGGAGGAAAGGCAGAGATTAGTGCCACACTGAATGCCTAAAGGTTGGAGGGTGGTGGCTCCCATTACCCCCGCCCCCCAGGTTATATTCACCAGTCTGGCCCCGACAAAGAGCACAGGAATCCTAGCAGATGTCAGGGACCCAGGCTGGTCGCGGCCCTCACTGCAGTGGCCAGATGTGGAATGGTTATTTGAACATGTTACACAGGCTAGAGGAGATGACGCGGAGCTGCTGGATGCGATCTTTTCTGTTCTCGTCTGAAAAGAGAAATGGATGGGGCGGCTGGGTGGTCTCATTGGTTAAGCATCTGTCTTCGGCTTGCGTCATGATTTCGGGGTTTGTGAGTTCGAGCCCCGTGTCGGGCTCTGAGCAGAGCCTGGGGCCTGTGTCGGATTCTGTGTCTCCCTTTCTCTCTGCCCCTCCCCTGCTTGTACTCTGTCTCTCAAAAATAAATTTTAAAAATTAAAATGAATCCTTTACAGAATGAAAGAATTAAAATTAATTAAAAATAAAATTTAAAAATGTGAAGAAGATTGGAAGCAGTTTGGAGTCATGTGGGATGGACAGCATTATAAGTTTAGGCTTGCCCTGGGACTGCTTTATTTTATTTTAACATTTTAAATGTTTATTTATTTTTGAGAGAGATAGAGCACAAGCAGGGGAGGGGCAGAGAGAGAGGGAGACAGAATACGAAGCAGGCTCCAGGCTCTGAGCTGTCAGCATGGAGCCTGACACGGGGCTCGAACCCATGAACTGTGAGATCATGACCTGAGCTGAAATCAGACATTCATCCAACTGAGCCACACAGGCACCCCAAACCCAGAACTGTTTTCACTGTCTCACTCTCTGTCATAATACAGTTTGGAGGAAACAATGCTCTGGGCATTCACCCAAAATCACATTGGTCCAGTATATGGACCTGAGGATCCATCTTGTGATTTGACCTGAGGAACAGGAAATGCAGAGTATATCTGTGGCCATGCTGAGACACGCAGTCCAAAAAGCCAGGGACTTGGGGTGCCTGGGTGGCTCAGTTGGTTGAGCGTCCAGCTTCAGCTCAGGTCATGATGTCATGGCTTGTGGTTCGAGCCCCGTGTCGGGCTCTGTGCTGACAGCTCAGAGCCTGGAGCCTGCCTTGGATTCTGTGTCTCTCTCTCTCTCTGCCCCTCCCCCACTCGTGTTCTGTCTCTCTCTGTCTCAAAAATAAATAAAAACAAAAAAATTAAAAAAAACAGAAAACCCCAAAAGGCCAGGGACTTGTCCCCTCAATGAGGTTGCTCGTCAGTGGCCTATCAGACATCCCATCAGAAATAAATATGGGGGCACCTGGGTGGCTGAGTCGGTTAAGCGTCCGACTTCGGCTCAGGTCACGATCTCACGGTTCGTGAGTTCGAGCCCCATGTTGGGCTCTCTGTTGTCAATGGGGAGCCTACTTCCAATCCTCTGTCCCCGTCTCTCTCTGCCCCTCTCCTGATCATACTCTCTCTTTCTCTTAAAAATAAATAAAACATTTAAAAAAAGAGTTAAGGAAAGAAGTAAATACAGGTTATTGCAGTTCACATGAAAAAAGGAACACAAGACATGGTAGGTCTCTGGGTTTGGGGTGCCATATATTCCATACTCGGGGACCCTACTGTGACACACTTATCAGATGACGCAGAAGGCTGCCAGCTGTGAATAGCGACGAGGGCAAGTGCTCCCAGCATGGCCCACCAGGCCCGGCAGATCCCCTTGAGCTGGAAAGATCTGTGATAGAGAAAGAGATGCCCTGTGTTTCTGGAAATCCTCAGTAAGAGTAGTGGCGCACAGCCCTCGGGCCCCGGAACAGGGCTATGCCTTCCCTGCCACGAAGTGTACATCAGTCCGAAAACAAAGCAAAACTTGACCATGGGACCATGGGACACCGAGGCATCAAGTGAGTATGTGGCTAGAGTGGCTTGTCACTACTCTAGGGGACTCTGATTCTGGGGGAGCCAAAAAGTCACAAGAGAGGACCGTCACACAAGGGCAAGGGTGCTTGGTATTGGCTGAGTGGGGTCTAGAGCACAGGTCAGTATCTGCATCACCCACTACTTCGGCCCCTCCCAGCACCTCTCCCTCAGCCACTGGCCAAAACAGGCCTGGAGAGGGGCTCCCTTTGACCAGAGGGTCCTTACAGTGGTTTTCAACGCACAGAAGCTCTTATTTTTAATGTTTATTTTTGAGAGAGAAAGAGCATGAGTGGACGAAATGCAGAGATGGGGGGGACAGAGGATCAGAAGTGGGCTCCACCTTGACAGCAGAGAGCCGACGCAGGGCTCAAACTCATGGACTATGAGCTCATGACCTGAACCGAAACCAAGAGTCAGAAGCTTAACTGACTGAACCACCCAGGCGCCCCCACAGAAGCTCTTAATTTTACCGTAAGAAGTTTATGCATGTTTTACTCTTACGTTTGTCTTGTATACTCAGGTCTTCAATCCACTGGGGGATTGGTTTGCTTATGGGTTACATTTTTTTTTTTTAATTTTTTTTTTTATTTCTAGGAGAGAGAGAGAGAGAGAGAGACAGCGTGAGCAGGGGAGGGCCAGAGAGACAGGGAGACACAGACTCCGAAATTGGCTCCAGGCTCTGAGCTGGCAGTCAGCACAGAGCCCGATGCGGGGCTCGAACCAACAAACCGCGAGATCATGACCTAAGCGAAAGTCGGATGCTTAACTGACTAAGCCACCCAGGCACCCCTGGGGTTACATTTTTTAATGTAAAAACCAAAAATGTTTTTAAACATAATTTCAGAAAATTTGAAAGAAGAGCACAAAGCATTGTGGTATATTCTTCACTGAGGTTTCTATTATTTTATTGTATTTGATTTACCTGGCTCTTTTCTCTCCCTCTCTTTCTTTCCCTTCACACACACACACACACACACACACACACACACTCACACACACAATGATCTTTCTGAGTCACTTGAGGGTAATTTGCAGACAAAATGCCCTTTGCTCCTCAACACTGCCATGTGCATAAACATTCTCTTATATAGCTATGGTACAATTAGCATAGTCAGGTAATTAACATTAAGACAGTACCATTATCAATATATACAAATATCGAATCATTATGCTGTATACCTGGAACTAATATCATGTTATATGTCAGTTATATCTCAATTTAAAAAAAAGACAACACCAGGGAGCTTGAGGGGCTCAGTCAGCTAAGTGACTGACTTGATTTCGGCTCAGGTCATGATCTCCAGGTTCGTGATATCAAGCCCTGAGTTGGGCTCTGCACTGATGGCATGGATCCTGCTTGGGATTCTCTATCTCTCTCTTTCTCTCTCGTTCTGTGCTCCTGCCCTGCTCGTGCTCTCTTCTCTCTCAGAAGAAATATATAAACTTAAAAAAAAAGACAATACCATTATCAATATATACAAATATCAAATCACTATGCTGTCTACCTGAAGCTAATATCATGTTATATATCAATTATATCTCAATTAAGAAAAAAGACAATACCATAATTGAATCAACAGACTTTACCAGATATTGTTTATCCTTATGGCGAAAGAACCTCCAGGATTCTGTGTTGGGTTCATTGTCAAGGGCATTCAGTCTCCTGTAATCTGGAAGAGTTCATGAGTTCACAAATCTTTGTCTTTCATGAGCACAGGCCAGTTATTTTGCAGAAATCCACCGATTTGATTTTATCTGAGGTTTCAGCTGATTAGAATCGATCATGCACCTTGACCAGGAGGGGCAGGGGAACGGCACTGTGTTCTTCTCAGTGCACTGTCAGGAGGTACGTGATGTCAGTCTGTCCTGTTCCTAGAGATGGTTTTTTCTTTCAAAGATTTTAAGTAGTCTCTACATTTTTTTTTTTATGGTTTATTTATTTCTGAGAGAGAGAATGAACAGGGGAGGGTCAGAGAGAGGGAGACACAGAATCCAGAACAGGCTCCAGGCTCTGAGCTGTTAGCATGGAGCCTGACGTGGGGCTCAAACCCACGAACCGTGAGATCATGACCTGAGCTGAAGTCGGACGCTTAACTGACTGAGCCACACAGGGGCCCCTAAGTAGTCTCTATACCCAACACGGGGCTCGAATTTACAACCCCAAGATCAAGAATTGCGTGCTCTACCGACTGAACCTTGTTCCTGGAGTTGTTTTCACTGTACTGTTACCATGGTGACTGCCAGGTTCTCTACTGGAAAGAGATCTGCAGGGACTCTCAGCGCACCGACTCCATTCCAACCCCTTGCTTTGCACTAAGGGACTTTGCCCAAATTCTGCCACAGCTTCCAGCAGCCTAAGGCCACTGAGACGACCCAGCCCTTTTGGGCACCAGTCTGGAAAAGATAAAGGCTGACAAAAGAATTTACCATTTGTTCCAGTCCTAAGATGGGCTCCTGACCTCCCATTCTTTTTTTTTTTTCTTTAAGTATATTTATTTATGTTGAGAGAAAGAGGGACAGAGCCAGAGACAGAGAGAGAAGTGCGTGTGCAAGAGTGGGTTGAGGAGCAGACAGAGAGGAAGAGAATCCCAAGCAGGCTCTGCACCTTCAGGGCAGAGCCCAATGTGGGGCTCGAACTCACAAACCTCGAGATCATGACCTGAGCCAAAATCAAGGGTTGCCTACTTAACCGACGGAGCCACCCAGGCGCCCCTCCTGACTTCTCATTCTTAGAGCATTTATAGGAAACCCTGACAACTGTGAGTCCCTTCTCTGTACGTGAGGTATATGTGTACCGCTTACAACCCAGCAATGTCCTTCCCCAGGACCTGAAAGCCATTTGTTTGAACTGTTGTCATCAGGAAGGCTGGGACCTCTGTCTCCCTGTCTCTGAGAGAAGAAGCCTGACTTTAAGAAGTGCCTTGGTGCGCCGGGGTGGCTCAGTCGGTTCAGCGTCTGCCTCTTGTTTTCGGCTCAGGTCATGATCCTAGGGTCGTGGGACTGAGCCTTGTGTCAGGCTCTGCACTGAGCGTGGAGCCTGCTTGGGATTCTCTCTTTCCCCTCTCTCTCTGTCCCTCCCCCACTTAGGCTCTCGCTCTCCCTCCCCCTCTAAAATAATAATAACAAAGAAGTGCCTCATCATTTTGACAATGACAGTGACCAACCCTGTTAACCGTGTCTTGTAATTTTCACCTCCCCGACTCTGTTGGAGTTCCTACTATGTTTTACTTCCTTTATCTAAAGTCTGGCTTTGCTGATGTTTGATAAAAATAACTTCTTTCCCATTGAAACTTCTCTTTGTAGGATCATACTATGAGGTTCTGTAAAAAAATATTCCGTTGCTCCTCAAACTTTCACCGACTGATTTTACAACAACCATTCGTGACTCTGCCTGAGTCATTTATGATGATGGTAGCCAAATGGTGATTTTCTAATTCCATCATTCTTTTTACATTTATTAGTGAAAAAGAGCTTTCCCTTGTTCTCCACTTATTTAGTTACTTGAATCATTATGAATTCATAACTTCTTAAATTCAAACTAAATTCCCGGGGCACCTGGGTGGCTCAGTTGGTTGAGCATTCAACTCTTATTTTGGCTCAGGTCATGATCTCATCAGGTCATAATCAGGTCATGATCTCATGGCTCCTGAATTTGAGCCCTGTATTAGGCTCCAAGCTGATGGTGTGGAAATTGCTTGGAATTCTCCTTCTCTCCCTCTCTCTCTGCCCTTCTCCCACTCATACTCTCTCCCCCTCTCTCTTCCAAAATAGATGACTAAACTTAAAAAAAAAAAAAAGGAAGAGAAAAGAAGGAAAAGCTCAGGGACACAGCACCCAGTTTGAAGGGGTACCCACTGGCCAAACCTGGACAGTATGGACATCAAAATACATAGTAACTTAATTTTGCCCATTCAGGAAAATAAGAATTTATTTTCTTAAGTTTATTTATTTATTTTGAGAGAGAGAGAGAGAGAGAGAGAGAGAGAGAGAAGAGAGAGAAAGCACTCCTTGCTTGTTTACGTAAGTCCCTTAGTCTGTAACAGAACTTACTTTCCTTGAGATTTGCAGCCCCCTGGCCTTGAGGAGTAAAAGACCAGAGTTTCCCAAGAGAAAAGGCCTGACTACATTTGAAAACCACCTGCTGCTAATGCCAGTGAGTCTGTTCAGAGTCACGTGGCCTGGGCACCTGCTTCTCCTGCACAGAGCCCCATTCCCTTTCCCCAGGCCCCCCCTTTCAAACCCTCTGGCCGGGGCCACCCTGGAGGCTCAGTCAGTTTAGGCTCCCGCTTTGGGTCAGGTCATGATCTCACAGCTCATGAGTTCAAGCCCCTCCTTGGGCTCGCTGCTGTCACCACAGAGGCGGCTTCAGATCCTCTGTCCCTCTCTCTCTGTCCCTCTTCCACTTGCACTATTTCAAAAATAAATAACACATTAAAAAAATAGTTTTGGGGCGTCTGGGTGGCTCAGTGGGTTAAGCATCCGACTTTGGCTCAGGTCACGATCTCACGGTTCGTGGGTTCGAGCCCCGCGTCAGGCTTTGTGCTGAGAGCTCAGAGCCTGGAGCCTGTTTCAGATTCTGTGTCTCCCTCGCTCTCTGTCCCTTCCCCACTCATGCTCTGTCTCAAAAATAAATAAACTATTAAAAAACAGTTTTAAAACCTTCCAGTTTTCTTTGGGCGGAAAAGACGGTCTTTGACGCATTAGTCCACCATCTTCTCAGGTTGCTGGCTTCCTGAATAAAGCCCTTTCTTTCCCAGCATCATAATGTCTCTGGGATATTGATTTTCTAGCGTGGCACAGAACCTGAGTTCCAAACCCTTTCTCTGGCCGGTATCAATATTACATCCAGTATCAATTTACATAGATATGAATTTAAATATCATAGCCAACATTCACTGAAATTCTCTGACAGTTTTATTTTTACTTATTTACTTATTTTTAACGTAATCTCATGGAAACCACCTTGACAAAAAAATCAATTTAAGAAATAAAAGTTAAACATTAAGAATAGGATGTCATATTGTGTTATCAACTGTGTTACAAATAAAAAAATTTAAAATGTAAAAAAAAAAAAATCTCTACACCTAATGTGGAACCTGAGAGAGAGAGAGAGAGAGGACAATGGGGAGGAGAGGGAGACACAGAATCCGAAGCAGCTCCAGACTCTGAACTGTCAGCACTGAGCCCGACGCGGGGCTCGAAGCCACAGACTGCGAGATCATGACCTGAGCCAAGTGAACAACCCAGGCGCCCCTCTCCTTCTGCCAGGCAATCTTAAAAGAGCTTAGAATCAGTTAGAAGGAAACCCCCCGCAACCCTGAAATCGCTCATTCCCTCACGCTCTTCCAGGAGACAGAGGAGGGCCAGCCTTCAGCTGAGCATTTGGGGGTCCAGAAAAACCGTCTTTGAAATCTGATAAACTTACCTTCTCAACAAAACACGTAACCTCAAAACCTCCCGTTTGCATTGGGCGAGTTGCTCAGAAACAGGATTCGGGGACGTGCGGGGCTTGTGGGAGAGAGAGGTCCGGGTAGCAAGCGGGTCAGGGCGGCCCGCTGAGCTGCGATGTGGCTGCGGCCGAGCCACAGCCCCCCGCCGCCGCCGAGAGGGCCCTCGGCGTGGCCCCGAACTGGGAGGCAGGTCGGGCCTCGGCACCCCCACAGGGACCGGGCATCGAGAGCAGGCGGCCCTGCGTAGCGGACGTTAGCTGGAGCCGCGAAGCTCCTAAGGAGAATCCCTCTGGCCTTGGCCCAGAACCCTGGGAGCGCGCCACAGCGACACCTAGAGTCCGCACCTTGCACCACTCGGTCCTCTATTTTTTTTATTTTAATGTTTATTTTCCAGAGAGAGAGTGCGCGAGCGGGGGAGGGGCAGAGAGAGAGAAGGGGACAGAGGATCCCAAGCGGGCTCTGCGCTCTAAGCAGCTATCCCAAATGCGAGGCTGGAACTCATTAAACCTGAGCTCACAACCTGAGTCACCCAGGCGCCCCTTTGGGCCCTCTTTATGCAGTAAGTTCAGTCCCCCAGCAAGTGGCACCTTAGGAGTCAGGACTCTTCCTGGGGAAATTTAAAATAAGGCTAGTGAGTGGGGCGCCTGGGTTGGGTGTGGAGCTCTTCACCTCGGCTCAGTTCGTGATCTCATGGTTCATGGGCTCAAGCCTCACTACAGGCTCGGCAGTAACATCTCAGAACCTGCTTGGGATTCTCTCTCTCCCTCTCTCTCAAAATAAATAAACTTAAAGAAAAAGGCTACTGGGACACATAACAGCTGGTTTCAGGCTTCATCACCTCCGTCTTCTACCACCCAGTCTAGATTGCCCTCACCCTCAGCTAGCACTTCAGTTTACCTGGAGGGGTGACCCAGACCCTGGAGGGGTCTGAGCCCCTGGTCACCCAGCACTATCAATGCATGGTGGCCGCACCAGTCCACTCACCACCAAAATTGTACCAAGAGACACAGCATGGGGTCAGAGTGGTGGAATGCACTCTCCCTCTCCAGTGTGGAACCTCATCCTCCTCCCTTGATGGTCAAGGTCAGCTCCTCCTGCCAGGACCCTGGCCTCTTCATCTGACTTCAAGGGACCCTGGAGGCTGCTGTAGCTTAATAGGACTCCTGCTGTGTCTTCTGGTGAATATGTTATCCTTTTGGGAGTCAGGGTCTCTGGGTGCACAAAGCCTGAAGTTGCAGGACAGAAAGCACAAGCTCTCCTAAAGGGTCTTGGGAGTGACAGCAAGCAAGGCCACCTCTACTTCCACTCCTGTGGGTTGCCCTCCCGTCTCCTACCTATTGGAGCCGCAGCCCCATGTCCCTGTCACTGATCCGGGGTATATACCCCTTCCTGGCAGAAGGCACCCTTTCCTTCCAAGGTCTTCTCACTAATCTGGCCCTTGACTGGTGCCTTATTTTTGGGAGAGTGAGTGAGAGAGAAAGAGAGGGAGAGATGGCGTATGAATGGGGGAGGGAGACACAGAATTCGAAGGAAGCTCCAAGGTCCAAGCTCTTGGCACAGAGCCCAAAGCGGGGCTTGAACCCACAAGCTATGAGATCATGACCTGAGCCTAAGTTGGACGTTTAACCCACTGAGCCACCCAGACGGCCCCTAGCCTGTACCTTTCAACAGTCTTTCCATTGCTCTTCAGGTTAGCAGCTTCTGTGTGTCCGGAAGGGGGTGTAGCACATTGGATCCTGCTGCCACGCATCCGGACTGCGCTACTGTCGAGAGGCACTTGATCCAATCCAAGGTGACATAGGATGTATTCTGTATTGGAAGGTCAAGTACTCTGAACCCTCAGCAAGCAGCAGGACAGCCAGAGAGCTACACCTGGACTCTGTGTCCGTTCCAGAAGGTGAGAATGGCTGGTGCCAAGAACACAAAGGATGAAGACTGAGGAACTGGCACAGATTAGGAGACTGAGGAGGCTTGACGACTCATGCAATGAGATCCTGGATTGGGGACCGGAAAAAGGGCACTACAAGGACTACTCTTGAAATTTGAATAAGATCTGTTGATTAGTTAACAGTCTCTGTTTCGGTGTGAATTTCCTGTTTTCTTAAATGTATATTTTTGAGAGAGAGAATGAGCAGGGGAGGGGCAGAGAGAGAGAGAAAGAGAAAAAGAGAGAGACAGGATCCAAAGTGGGCTTTGTGCTGTCAGCACAGAACTCAGTGAGGGACTCAAACTCATGAACTGCAAGATCATGACCTGAACCAAAGTCAGACGCTTAACCGACCGAGCCACCCAGCCGCCCCAATTTCCTATTTTTAATAATTATACTGTTGTTGGGATGCCTGGTGGCTCGGCCGGTTAAGCATCTGACTCTTGATCTCATCTCAGGTCTTGATCTTGGGGATCGTTGAGTTCAGGCCCCATGTTGATGTCCGTGCTGGCCGTGTAGCCTACTAAAATAAACGAAAAAAAATAATCATATAGATGTTGTAAAAGATGTTAACATATGAGGAGGCTGGGTGAACCATATTTAAGCATTCTTTGTACTATTGTAAAAAGCAACTTTGTTGAGTTTTATAATTTACATGCCATAAAATCCACCCGTTTTGTACAATTCAACTTCTAGTAAATTTGCTCAGTTGTACAGAGCATCGCCATGATCTGGTTTTAGAGCAATTTCATCACCCCCGGAAGTCCCGGCCCCAGGCCACCACGGATCTGTTTCTGTCTTTATTGGTTTGCCTTTTCTGGACATTTCACATAAAGGGATTCATTCCTATATTTCTATGATACGTGGTCTTTTGTGTCTACCATAACTTCCCGTGTGTTTGAGATCTTTGTTCTCTTTTCACAACTGAAATTATATCAAAATGAAAAGCCAGAAAAGAACAAAAAAATAAAGATGAATCACACCCTTTCCAGCGTGGGAGGGACTAACATACTACTAAGTAGCTAGTTGGTCTCAAAAGATGGGCTGACTCAGAGGCTCGGCATTGGTCTCCATCACTGGCAGGGTGGACATTTCAGCAGTGACAGAGCTAGAGCAGCCTCGGTGAGTCACAGCCATGCTGCTGGCCTCATGCAGAGCCGGCCCCCTGCCCCCCACCCCCTGCCACCATGGCTAGTCCACTCAAACTTCCTTTTCCCATCATGGGAGGCTTCCACCTAGCTGATTCTACAACAAGCAAGGGTGTCCCCTCTGATTAACGATCAGGGCCAGGGAAATGACCAGGCAGAGCTGTGGATCCAGCCATCCTGCTGTGAGCTGGGCCTGGGGCCAGGACTCCATTTACTGTTACTCCCCTAACCCCACAAGAGTCCTGATGACACTCGACCTCCTCAGGTATCAATGTCAGCTCAGACCCTGTGTCCAAGTGCAATCCTAAAGCAGCTCCAGGTACTCCTCTTCCCTGGGGTAAGAATGGTTCTGAGTAAATGGCTGGAGGCCCCTCTGGGAAGGACCAGGACAATCGCTACTGCACCCCTCACAGCCATGTGGGAGAGGCCTCCCTCATGAGATCTGGCTTCTCCTCTGGGCAAGGGGTTCTGAGTCTGAGAACCGCCTCCTGTCTGGAAATTGGGTGATGTTTCATGACTTCATCTTGGGGCAGCTTCCCTCAGCCATGCAGTCAACAGTCCCTGGAGTCCTTCTGGTTGTATAATGGAAGCCAACCCTGCTATTTGCCCCTGGCCGCACCAAGACCCATTCATAACTCCCTAGCTCTCTGGGTCTGGTCCTCCCTCCTGGCCTCTGAGAGACCCACGCTACCCCCGGTCCTACTGCTGTGGGGTCTTCTCAATCCCATTGCTATCAGGCAGCCCGGTTCTGTTACAATACCTCCTCCTGTCAGTCTGGGCCTCAGAGGAATGGCCACCCAGCTTCTCAACAATGTGGTGCCTCTTTCTTTTTGGTAGATGGAGGTTGTCTGGGTCCCTCTGTGGAACAGATCTGGCTGGCGGGCATTATTTAGCCATCACAAATACAGAATTATGTCCACTCGAACACGTAGAACTTAAGTGTCTTATTGCACAGTCAAGGAGCAAAAAGAAGAAATGGCATGGGGGTGGGGGCAGGTAATAGATATTTTGATATTTTTTTTACTCTTCGGAACGAAGGACCCCCTAGATCCTCCAGCTCTGAGGACAACATCATGAGATAACACGATGGGTTCATCTGCAGCTCTTGACCTAGAAGATGACAGCATGTGGTTGGGCTCTGTCCCCCATTATAGAGAAGCTGGGTACTGAAGAAAAGTATGGAACTGGGCATAACTGGCTGGCTCAGACAGCTGAGGACTTTGGCTCCGATCATGATCGGTCATGATCTCACGGTTCGTGAATTCGAGCCCCGCATTGGGCTCACTGCTGTGTCAGTGCTGAGCCTGCTTCCTGCTTTGGATCCTCTGCCCCCCCCGCCCCTCCCCCACTCTCACGTGCTCTCAAAATTGAATAAACATTTAAAAAAAAAGTTAACTAAATGGGACCTGGAGAGCTGCTCTGAGGGTAAGCCTAAGAGTTTCAAGTGAAACCTTTAAACTGCTAAGGACCTGGAGTATCCCTCAGTTATCTGGTCCACCTCCATCCATTAGACACAAGGGCAGGGCTGGGCCTCGGAGAGGAGAGAGGCTGGTGGTCCTAAGTCCTACCCTCCTACCCATCATCAAGTAAAAGGAGTTACTCTGAGGTAAACCAAACCCCACATCCCCTCTCCCTCCACTGAAGGGGGTAAATTGCCAAAGGAAATCAGCCACTGAACAAAGAAGCCGTGTCCAGGTCCACCTCCTGTCTTCTACGCTGCGGGCGCAGCCACGGGAAGCCAAATACACAAGCGGTTTCCATACTAGCAAAATACTTTTATTGTTTTATAATGATAAAAGAAGGAGAGTAAAGATTTCTTTTTGGTGTATACCAGAGTTAAGGGCAGTAGGAGAATAAGGGGATTAATAGGACTTTTGTGTACTTTGATGACAACAGAAAGTTAACAATACCGACAGTTTGCCATAAAACTTATCACAGCTCCCCCAAAACACATATATAAAGGATCATAGTTTTAAAATCTATAAAAGTAAAAAATATACAGTCAGAAACTCTAACGTTTATTTCCTCTTTAATATAAAATTGTAAACATTTATTTACACAAAGCAAATGTGTATAACAAAGTCCGAGCACCCTTTTCTTGTGAGTCATGGCTCCTGGAAGAGGGACGTGCACTGAAGTGGAGTCTCCTCCCCTGGCTACCCAGAAACCAGATTCATAAATAAAGCCACGGGCA